CACATACTGTGCATTTGTAAGGCTTTTCAGATTTGTGATTATTTTCATTATGTCCCAAATGTGCAGAAACACTGAAGGATTTACCACGTTGATTATATTCATCAGGTCGTTCTCCAGTATGACTTCTTTCATGCTGTTTAAATGCTGAGTGGTACAAAAAAGTTATGCCACAGTGTTTACACTTGTGTTTCTCTCCACTGTGCATGTTCATGTGTATTTTAAATGTTACATGATAAAGAAAGGATTTTTCACATTCTTTACATTGATAAGGTTTTTGTGCAGAATGTAGATTCAAGTGTCTCTGAAAGCTTTCACAAGAAGTCTTTGTCACATCCTTTACATTCATAGCATTTCTCTTTATGACTTCTCCTATGTGTCTGAAAGGAACTGAGAGATCTGAAGGCTTTGCCACACTGTTTACATTCATAGTTCATTTTTTCAGTATGATGCTGTTCATGTTTTTGAAGCCACTGCTGATAAGCAAATACTTTACCACATTATACTTAGATTTATATGGCTTCTCTCCATATTCCCTACTCTCATGTGGTTTATACCTAACATGAGCCCTGGGCTGGCCACTAAGGAATGTCGGATGTACGAGGACTTTTCCACACAAGCTGCCCTTACACAGTGTTACACAGACACAAGTTTTCTTCGTGAGACTGAGATTTGGAACTGGGATGACGTTTTCTTCACACTGATGTTCTGTATTCTCATCAAGTTTCTCCACCATATGACTTCTTGAGGTTTTCTCTTGCTTTGCATCTTCATTTTCAGGGCTCCAGTCGTTCAATTTTTTCCCCACAGCAGCCAGGTTCCTGATGGTTTCCCTCATCACATCTCTGTAGAATCTCTTCTGGCAAGGATCCAGCAGAGCCCACTCGTCAAAGGTGAACTTCACAGCCACAACCTCAAAGGCCACTGAGTACATTCCCGGCTTCACTGGTGACCCAGAGGCCTTGGCCAGGCTCCCATGACCACAAGTCACAGCTTCGCAGGATCTATTAAACCATTCTTACATTCATGAGATGAATCCCACTTGGTCATGATGTATAATTTTCTTGATGATTTGTTGAATTTTGTTTGCTAGCATTTTATTGAGGACGTTTGCGTCTATGTTCACTAGGGAAATTGACCTGTGGCTCTCCTTTTTGGCTAGGTCTTTCTCTGGTTTGGGTATCAGGGTGCTACCTGCCTCCACGAATGAATTAGGGAGAGTTGCTTTCCTTTCATTAAAGAGTTTGAGAAGTATTGGTGTCAAATCTTCTCTAACTTTCTTGTACAATTCAGTTGTGAATCCATCAGGACCTGGGTTTTACTGTTTTGGTAAATTTTTTTTAAATTATATTTTCAATTTCATTGACTGATACTAGGTTATTCAGAATTTTTGTATTTTCTGGATTCAACTTTGGTAATTCATGTATCTAGGAATCTGTGCTTTCCATCCTCTGAGAGTAAAGATTTTTGAAGAAGATATTAATGATATTCTGAATTTCTACAGGCTCTGTAGTGATTTCACCCTTTTCATTCCTTATTACGTGAATTTGAGTTTTTTTCTTTCCTTTTTTGCTAAGATTGGTTAGGAGTTTATCAGTTTATTTTTTCAAAGAACAAACTTTGATTCATTAATTCTTTGTATTGTTTTCTTTATCTCCATTGCATTAATTTATGTTCTGTTCTTCATAATTTCTTTCCTTCTTTGAACTTTGGGCTTGAGTTGCTCTTCTTTTACCAGAAGCTTGAGGTGTAGCGTTAGGTTCTGTTTGCCTGATGTGAGCACTCACCGCTATACGTTTTCCTGTGAGAACTGCTCTCATTGTATCCCCCCAGATCCCAGTAAGTTGTGTCTGCATTTTCGTTTGTTTGTAAATATTGTTCAGTTTTCTTCTTCCATTTCATCTGTGACCCATTGGTTGTTTGGGAGGATGGTATTTAATTTCCATGTGTTTATGCAATTTCTTTTGCCAACAACTTCCAATTGCATTGCTCTGTGGTCTAGTAATATGCACAGAATAATTTTAGTTTCTTTGCATTGACTCAAGCCTCTTCTTTGGGCTACTAGTTTAGAAAGCATCTTGTGCTGTTGGGTAGAATACCCTGTAAGGGTCTACTAGGTCTATTTTATCACAAGTTTGGTTTAGTTCTATTATTTCATTGCCGATTTTTTTGTCTAGTTGATCTGTCTCTTTGTCATAATGGGTCCCCTGTTACGATTGTGTTATTGCTTATCTTATTTTTTTATGTCTATTAATATCATTTTATGTCTTAAATAGTTGAATGATCCTGTATTTGGCGCATATATATGCATGATTGTTGTCTCTTCTCTTGCAGTTTTCCTGTAACAAATATGTAGTGACCTTATCTTTTTTTGATCATTCTTGGTTTGAAGTTCACATTGTCTGTAAGCAGAATAGCTACCGCTGCTTTTTCTGGGTTCTTGTTGCATGGAATCTTGTTTTCTATCTTTGACTTTCAGTCTGTGAATTTCGAGTTAAATGTGTGTCTTATACACAGAATATTGTTGGATTTTGTTTCTTGACCCACTCTGCCAGTCTATTTCTTTTGATTGGTGAATTGAGGCCATTTGCGTGAATGGTTATAACTGATATATATTGGCTTATCTTTGTCATGTTATTTATCTGCTGCTGGTTCCCTACTTTCCCTCATGTTTAGTTACTTGGCCTGCTTGGTGGTTCCTTTCCATTGTTATTCTTGGAATTGTGGTCATTTTTATTTCTTTCTTCAATATCTTTAAGTACTCTTTGTAAGGTTGGTTTGGTGATCATGAATTTCTTCAGTTGTTCTTTGTCATGAAAGTATCTTAATTCTCCATTAATTTTGAAAGATAGTTTTTCAAGATACATCAATCTGAGTTGGAAGTTGTTTTCTTTCAGGACCTGAAATACTTTACTCCAAGTTCTTCTTGGCTTGATGGTTTGTGCTGAGCAATATGTCATGGCGCTGGTGGGCTTTCCAGTCCCTTCACTCTTCCAGGAGGCAGCACCGCCTCCCGCCTGCCCCTTACCTAGCTATGTGTCAGATGTCTTCCAGTACACTGTGATCTGTTCTTTGGCCACAGTGGATTGGCTCAAGACCGAGTGCTCAGCTGAAGTTGGGACCAGGCAAGCATTTTCCTAGAATTCCTGGAGTTGAACTTGATGTTTTAAAAAGTCAGTTTTTCCTGCTGGACTTTTGAGTGGAAAAATTAGAGCTCTCAGCGGCTATGTCTGATGCTGTATGATAGAAGCAGAGGATCTGGTCTGTGGAGAGAGTGCAGTGGAGTAAACGTTCAGTCACTGTGTGACTAGGTGTTTTCTGATGTCTGCGCGTGCCTTTGCCCCCACTGTCACCAATCACTTTGGTATCCTCAGTATCAATTCCTCTTTTTAGTTCAAGCTGGCTCAAATTGAGTTTTTTGTTGTTTTTTTTTTTGAACCAGGAATTGAACTCAGCCTCTTGGGCTTGCCAGGCAAGTGCTTATTGTACTGAGCCATCTCCCTGGCCCCTCAAGTTGAGTTTTGACACTAATTACAAAGCTCTGTGATGTCTGCTTTTCCTAAAATATATTTCCTCAAACATTTATCCGTTGACAAATATTTTTGAAAAAAGGAGGGAGGAGGAAGATTCCATGATTGAAGGACTCCAGAGAGTATCTCGTCAAGATCATGGTGTGTGCTAGCCCAGCGCTGGAAGGATCCGGCAGTGATATGGATTGTTTAAGTTCCTTCAGCGCAGTATTGCTTTGGTTTATTTGCTCACAGACACTCTCCTCCCCACTGGAACTGTTCAAGTGTATTTCCTAGAGAGCATAGTAGAGGAGATGTCCCGCTAGACGCATCAATCTTGTCTTCAGGTGAAAGCAGACCACCGTAACTGTGTGCCCTTTCTGCATTGTTTTAGTTCATAAAGAATGACATTTATTTAATGTGCTTTGACATGGGAAAGAGCCCTAAGACATCCTCCAGTATGGGGGAGGATTCTCCTGAGATGTCCTTTATCACAAACCACTTCCAGAACTGGGACAGCTTCTGCCAGTGACTGGCTCGGTTATTTCAGCCGCTGCAGGTGGTGTGATTCATGTGTGCAGCAAGTGTGAGTACTGTGCACGACTGTATACTATTCTGATTCTTGTTATCCCTGTAACATTGCTTTTCTTTACTGTAATTGTCCCTTTATATCTATCAATCCTGTGTGTAACTAAAATTGTAGCAGAAATATAAAATGTATCATCTTTTTTTTTTAATTTTATTTATTTGTGTGTGTGTGTGTGTGGCCAGCTCAGCCCACCAGGGGGCAGGGCTGGCTGGCATGTGGTGCTGGGGGATTGAACCGCGGTCCTTGTGCTTTGCTAAGCTTGTTCTAAGTAGGTGCTTTAGACCACTGAGCCATCTCACCAGCCCTAAGATGTATCATCTTAATAACTTTCCTGTACAGTTTATCAGTGATAACTCTATGCCTAGAAATTTTCATCTATGCAGAATTAAAAGTATATAAATTGAGGGCTGGTGAGATGGCTCAGTAGTCTAAAGCTTCTACTTGGAACAAGCTTGGCAAAGCACAGGGACTGCGGTTCGATCCCCCAGCACCACATGCCAGCCAGCCCCGCCCCCTGGTGGGCTGAGCTGGCCACACACACACACACACACACACGCACACACACTAAATTAAAAAAAAAAAAGAAAAAGAAATAATTAAAAGTATATAAATTGAACAGCTCCTTTTATAGATGTTTTTATTTAAGGTACCTCAATCCTATTTCTAATGAAATTAGTGGAAATTGATGAATTATATAAATTTCTAGCATAATATTTTTAAGTAGGATAAATGACAGTAATTAACAATTGTAAGCCAATTCAAAATCTTTTTTTTCCCAACTCAAAATCTTTGAGTCTACTTTATAGAAATAAAGTAGCAAATGTATCAAAAGTATTTGGTTGTTAAAATGTATATCTAAAAACATTAAGTTTACAAGCATTATATTTTTCTTTTTTATCGCACAGGCTTTGTCAGGTTTTTGGAAGGCTATTACATCGTGTTAATAACAAAAAGCAGAAAAATGGCAGATATTGGGGGCCATGCGATATATAAGATTGAAGATACAAATATGGTCTACATACCGAATGATTCCGTGAGGATTACTCACCCTGACGAAGCTAGGTAGGTGCCCGCCTGATGTAGGTTTGAATGTGGTAAACCAATTAGGAAACGAGTAGAAGCAAAGGATTATGAGTGCTGTGTAAAAGGACCAAATGTTGGCTCAGAATTGTACGCCTGTGGTTCAAGACAATTAAAAAACTGTTATTACAGTTGGTTCTGGTAAAAATTATAATTAAAAGGGCCAGCCAAATAGCTCAGCAGATTAAAGTGCCTGCTTAGGCAGACACAGGGGTCGGAGGTTTGATCCAAGGCCTGCTGTGCAGGCCCCTCCCCCGGGGCGCGCTGAGATGGCAGTTGAGACTGGGCATGGTGGCACGTGCCTGTAACGCCAGCTCTTGGGAAGCTGAAAACAGGATCACTACAAGTCCAATCTGTGTAGTGAGAACCATGTAGACCCTGTAGACCCTGCACTAAAAAAAAAAAAGAATTACAACTAAAGCCATTAAACATGAGGAACAGAATATTTACGCTATAAACATTAAACTCCATAAGTCTATTTATTATTTAAAAAGATATTTTGTAATTGAAAAAGAGGTAGATATGCTTAACTATTGATCAAACTTGCCATTTCCAATGAGATAAAATTAATATTATTTGCCTCTTACTGTAAAGTAATGGAAAGGGCACAGATAATGCTTAGTAATTTTCTTTGCTAAAAATACAGTATAGACTGCATAAGGCAGAGCGCAGTGGTTGGGTTCAATCCCTGGCATGCCATGGGGGCATTCTCCTCCTCCCCCTGTGGGGTGCAATGACATGATGACACAGTGATTGAGGCTGAGCGTGGTGGCGCACCTGTAATCCCAGCACTTGGGAGGCTGAAAACAGGAAAATCACTATGAGTCCAATCTATGTAGTGAGACCCTATAGACCCTGAACTAAATACATAAAAAAAAGATAAATAAATGAATAAATAAGAACACAGTATGGAAGTCAATAAGGAGGTTGCGCATAAATCTAAAATTAGAAATTCCATTTCATGCAGCTGTTTCCCTTCCTGGAATCTTCCTAAAAGAGTTAAAGACATCATATCGCAGTGTTATATGCGTTTCGTGTTCCTGGCAGCACAGTTCGTAGTGGCCAACTCTTGGAAGCAGTCTGTGCGTCCATCAACAGAAGAATGGCTAAATAGAATGTGGTATTTACGGACAGAGAGCACTGTACGATGGAGGGTAAACTTGAGCCACTTGTAGGAAACTGGATGCTCCTGTGACCATAGTTAAGTGAACTAAGTCAGACTCGCAAGTTGCAGTGTGGCATGGTTTCTCGTACATGAGAAGCCTAAGGTATAAATAAAGAGCAAAATAAAAGGTAGATAATAGAAAGTTTAAGGAGATAGATGTTTCTCAAAGGGCTGAAGAGATAGTTCTGCGGTGTAAGCACCTTCCTTAAGCTCAAGGACCCGGGTTTGACCCCCAGTATCACGTGCTGTCCCTGGCACACCATGCCTGCAACCGCAACTGGGATTGGTGGTGCACCTGGCATCCCAGTGCTTCAAAGGCAGAGATAGGAGGATCACTATGAGTCCGAACTGCACAGCAAGACCCTGTACCAAATAAATATTAAAAAAGAAAAAAGAGAGGGGCTGGGGACATGGCTCAGTATAATAAGCACTTCCCTGACAAGCGCAATGGCCTGAGTTCAATCCCTGGTTCCACCAAAGAAAAAAAAAAGAGAGAGAGAGAGGAGAGGAGGACAAAAAGGATGAAAAAAGAAATTAAGCTGTGTGATGTAATGCACCATCTCCACGTATGGAATGCAAACACCTTGTACTACAACATGTTCTAAGAAAAGATTAAATTACATGTAATGCAAAACATGGTTAGATACTTTGCAAGGCAACTGGTTTGGACTCTTAAAAATGTCCAAATTGTGCAAGATGGGGAAAAGAATAATTCTTTCAGATTTTTAGAATAGCCATGACAGATGCAGTGCATGAATCTCTGTTAGGCTTGATTCACCATGCGCGCACGCACACACCTACAGAGAGCCAGAGAGGCCTTTCTGGGGCAGCTCCTATGGGCTGGATACCAGCGAAACGGTCAGCTTTAAATCTGGGGGGGGGAAGAGCATTTTATTGATATGGGTAGATCACCCCGTATCTGAAATGCGTGGGACTGTAAGTGTTTCAATTTTTTTAACTTTTTTTTTTTATTTTGGAATGTTTGCATAATCCTGAGATATCTTGAAGATAGGACCCAGGTCTAAACTCAAAATGAATTTCTATTTTCTGTATACCAGACAGATAGAATGAAGTGGTAATTTAGTCAGTATTTTCAGTGCACCTGTGCTTTGACTGTGACATATAAAATGGTGTCAGGTGTGGGCTTTTCTTCTTGTGGCTCACACAGTTGCTGAAAACTTGAAATTTTAGAACATTTTAGATTTTGGGTTTTCATATTAGGGATCCTTAAATGTTTTTTTTTTTTTTTTTTTTTTTTCCCTTCCAGTGTGTTCCTCTTTATTCATTTTCAGAGTACAAACTTAAACTTGGATAGGCTGAATTAACCCAACCCACCTCTTACACGTACACTCAACATGCTATATAAAAATAACATTCAATTTATTATTTCTTTCTCAAGAGAGTTTTCTTCAGTCCATTAAGCCCCAGCTCCCCTTACATGGGCTTTGGTGGAGGTCGTGGGCAGCACCAGCAGGTCTAAATTGGGGTGGAGGAGTTCGGTCCTTATGGGCTTCACGAGATCGATTTCTGACCACTTTGCTGTGAATGGCACAACTCACAGTCATGCAGCTTCACGTACAGCTTGGGAAGCACATAACCGTCAAAGACACTCGCTTCGGAAATGTCCCTGACGGCGGCGGCCTCCACTATGTTCCGAATGACAAACTTCTTAATAGCCTTATCCTTGGGTACGCACCGGGCGCAGTTCGTGCAGCGAATAGGCTGCACATGACCGCGGCCCTTTTGGCACGACTGTTGTTCCTTCTTTTTTTCGTCATCTTGGAAAGGAGGACCCGAAAAGCCCTTAAATGGTTTAGAAAAATAAAATATACTTGTTTATTTATTTATTTATTTATTTTTTGTTCCTTGAATGCCTTCAGGGCACTTGGCCAGCGGGAGAGGTGTGAGGTTCGAACTCCAGCAACCTGAGGCTGACAGCTTTGTGGAAGCAGCCACTTAAAGGCCTGAGCTAGGGCCAG